GAGCAGGCCCGGGGGCCGGGAAGCTGCGGGCGGCGGCGCTGGGCCCGGCGCGGCAAGAGAGGCCCTGAGATGCCGAGCAAGAAGAAAAAGTATAACGCGCGGTTCCCGCCGGTGAGCACGTGGCCGGGCCCGGGAGGAGCGGGCCGGGCTCTCGGGAGGCCCGGGCCCAAGCCGGGCTGGGGGGGGGGCGTCGGGCGCATCGAGGTGTTCGGGGGCACGGACGCCCCGCCCCCTTCCGTGCTCTCCCCGCGTCCGTGCCCCCCGCCCCCTTTCTCCCGGGATACCCTCTCTCGGTCCGCCCTCCCCAGCACCCCTTTCTGGGACGGAGGTGACAGGGTCCGAGTTTTCTGCCCCCTCCCCAGGCGCGGATCAAGAAGATCATGCAAACTGACGAAGAAATTGGGAAGGTGGCGGCGGCAGTGCCTGTCATCATCTGTATCCTGTCGGGGCCTGGCCAGGTTGAGGGACGTGGGGTAGGGAGGGAGCCCGGGATCGCCTTGTTTAGGCTGGGGATCCCCCACCCGTGTTCTCCTTGACGCTCCTCAGCCCGGGCGCTTGAGCTGTTCCTGGAGTCGCTGTTGAAAAAGGCTTGCCAGGTGACCCAGTCCCGAAATGCCAAGACCATGACCACATCCCACTTGTGAGTGGCCTGGGAGCTGGTTGGGCCCAGTGGGACCCTGCCCCAGAAGTTCACACACTTAGGGGAGGTGGGAGGCTGCTGGGAGACCAGCAATGCCTCAAACACTGGCGGGTTTGAACTGGGGGAGGAGGGGTTGGGTGGTCTAGCCAGGCGGAAAGGTCCAGTAGTGGAGATGGGGTGGAGGTTTTCCAGGCTCTATTCTCCTGACATCCAGAGACCCTTGCTGTCCCTTGCTGAGGGCCCAGACATCTGGGCCCCACCTGAATGCTGTCTTCTCCCCCCACCCTTCCAGGAAGCAGTGCATTGAGCTGGAGCAGCAGTTTGACTTCTTGAAGGACCTGGTGGCCTCTGTGCCTGACATGCAGGGAGACGGGGAAGACAACCACATGGACGGGGACAAGGGTACCCGCAGGTGGGGAGCCAGGGCCAGGTGTCCAGGCAAGGAAGGCCAAGGCCACTGGGGCTGGGGGTGGTTGGGGGGTGGTCAGGGAGTGGTGAGATCTCTGGGCAGATGGACTGTACCTTCCCGAAGGGGCCGGAAGCCAGGAAGCAGTGGCCGGAAGAATGGTGGGATGGGAAGCAAAAGCAAGGACAAGAAGCTGTCAGGGACGGACTCGGAGCAGGAGGTGAGTGAGGCCCCCAGCCTGCTGCCCTACCCCATGGTGTGGAGCAGGCAGTCTTGCATCAGGCTTTGCTGGCTGGACACCTGGTCCCATCCTCACCTATGGTTTTTTGTAAATTGGGGCTATAAAGGTCAGGCTATAGAGGTCAGTCATCTGTCCCTGTCACTCCCAGGGGTCTATGTTCTACAGTGATGGGCTCTTGCTTTTCTTGTCTCCTCTGACCCCTGTCTTGCTCCCAGGATGAGTCTGACGATACAGACACTGATGGGGAAGAGGAGACATCACAGGCCCCACCCCAGGCCAGTCATCCCCCTGCCCACTTTCAGAGGTAAGCAGTTCAGTGGCACCAGAGGGGGCTAGCAGACTCCGCAAGGCTGACTTGTTTTTTTGTCCTTGTGGCCGATTTGGGGGACGGGAGGGGGGGAACTGAGCACGGCCTAATGGCAGGAGACTGTTCTCAGAAGGTCTCCTCCTCCACCCGCACCCAGCCCCATTGGATGGGGCCTGGGCAGGAGCTGTGTGACCTGCTCTGGGTCCTTCCCTTCACTGAGCTTGGCTGCCCTTTGGTACAGAGGGCCACAGGCTCCATGCTCATGGGGGTGGGGTAGGGCTCAGTGGGCACGAATGGGCACCGGAGAGGGGCCTGATCTTTCTCTCCTGTTTCTGCCCTGCAGCCCCCCGACACCCTTCATGCCCTTCACTTCGACTCTGCCTCTGCCCCCAGCACCCCCGGGCCCCTCAGCACCTGACGCAGAGGATGAAGAGGACTATGACTCCTAGCGCCCTCTGCCCCCCAGGCCACGCCCCCTTTTAGTTGGTTTTAGTTGCTCTGGGGGGAGGAGAGAAGATAGAGCTGTTCTTAAATTTATTAAAAAATTAATAATAAAAGGGAACACCGGTGTCTGTCCCAGCCTATGTACAGGGCTCTGTGGCCACCTTCCCACCCATCCACCTGCTTTCCCCATGCTGAGCTGAGGCCAGGAGCGGTGGCGGGCAGGGCAGCAGCTGAGTGAAGGGAGGGTCCAGAGGCCACGGTTCTGCCGGGGTAGGAGCAGGGCTGCTGACAGAAGGAAGGTAGGCAGAGCGGTGGTGTAGGGCCGGAGCCAGAGGTCCTGGTTATGCTGGGGGACAACCTGTTCCGTTGTGCTGTGTGACCCTGGAGAGGTTCCTATTTTTCTTTGAGTGGCTTCTTATCTCTCTGGTGGAGACTCTTCTGTCCACTCTGGACCGCTGCAAAGGGACAGATGGGACAAATAATGGGAGGAGGCCTTGAAAACTGCAGAGCTTGGTGCCTGGTGCCATGAAGGGCGTGTGGAAAGGGGCAGTGGGAGCAGAGGTAGGTGGGACTATCGAGGGCCTCAAAGATTGGCTTTCGAGCAGGATAGTGACCCTGGTGGTCAGTCTGCCCCCGTTTCTAAGCAGACCCTCGAACCGTGGGGCCCCCAAGGCAGACGTGTGCCTTCAGGGAGCCGGGGCTTGGTGAGGCTGGGCAGGAGACATGGCGGCCGTGGGCAGACTTGAGGTGCGTGTTACCAGTAGACTCAAGGGTGCCGCGAACTGACTGGCTGTGGGGCTGAAAGGGAGGGAACCCTTAGGCATTGCCAGCTTTTTTTTCTGCAGCGACTTGGGCAGGGGCCCTTTTCCAGCTGGAGGACACAGAGAAAGAGCAAGATTAGGTGTCAGGGTCACAGGTTGGGCTGTGGCGAGTTTTGGGTGCCCGAGAAGCTGCCGAGGGGAGGCATAGAATGGGCCCTGGAATGTTAGGGGCCCGGAGACGGATGTGTGAGCCTTGAGAGTAGGTGACCTCGCCCCAGGGAGAGAGGGGAGGGCCTGGGCAGGCCACCAAAGGAGACTGAAGAGCAG